TGTGTGTCTCTGTGTGTCTCTGTGTGTCTCTGTGTGTGTGTGTGTGTGTACAGGTTAGCTTGGGGACCAGTGACACAGTGTTTCTTTGGCCTCAGCAGCTTCATCCAGCTGTGGAGGGTCATATCTTCTGTAACCCTGTGGAGAGAGAGGCGTACATGGCTCTGCTGTGGTAACACACACACACACACACACACACACACACACACACACACAGCTGCTTTAATGAATGAATGAAAATAATGAAACTTTGGTCCTCAGCTTTAAGAACGGATCTCTGACCAGGGAACGCATCAGGAACGAGTGTGCTGGAGGATCATGGGAAGTTTTTTCTGCTGCTTTGAGGGACACGCCGCTCGGGAACAATGGAAACATCGGTGAAGCTTCCTCTTTTTCCTTCTTCCTTCCTGCGATCCTTCCTTCTCTCCTTCCTCAGTCTTTATTTTGATGTTTTTCCAGGCTTGTATTTCGACACCATGGAGATCACTCCTGCTGCAGTGGGAGTTCATCGCTTTGACTCGGACGACACTGAGGTGAAGAGACTCTTACGCACAGTATAGAGAGAGTGTTCAGTGATGTTGATGTTGCACCTGCCTCACCCGTCCTGCAGGTGTCCTCATTCAGTGATCAGGTGGAGGTGCGTGCTCTGGTTGAGGGTCAGTTTCTGTCGAGGAGGGTTCACGCAGAGAGACTGGGATACGCCCTGAGTGAGAACACCTTCTTCTCTTCCTTTATCTTCATGGTTTCATTTGTTCTGTGTTTTCTGTCTCTGTGTAAAAACCATGTTCAAAGTATGTTTTTATCATGTGACATGTGAAAGTCCGGTTTTAAACCGTGTGGCTTTATTTCCAGGAACCAGAGTTCTGGCGACAGGAGGAGCTTCATCCAACAGAGAGATTCTGCAGGTGAGTGTCTGTTCATCTCACCTGGTTCATATCTATTCTCTCTATATTTACACTGGGATATGTATCTGTTTCCTTTTTGGAGTTTATGAAACTGTAGAGTCAAACCACCAGACTGCTAATCCTGAAGGCTAATCCTGTAGGCTAACATTGTATATTAATCCTGAAGGCTAATCCTGTAGGCTAACATTGTATATTAATCCTGAAGGCTAAT